CACAGTGGCACCAAGGATCGTGGGACACAGGGCATAGGACACCAGAGGACACGGGACACACAGGGATGGCACCACCGATGGGACACAGGGCACCAGGGATGGCACCACAGGTGGCAGCACACAGCGGGAAACGGGGTACAGTGGCACCAGGGATGGCAGCACAGAGGGACACAGGGCACCGGGGATGGCAGCACACAGGGGACACGGGGCATCAGGAAGCAGCACAGAGAGGGCACAGTGGCACCAAGGATCGTGGGACACAGGGCATAGGACACCAGAGGACACGGGACACACAGGGCGGGCACCAACGATGGGACACAGGGCACCAGGGATGGCACCACAGGTGGCAGCACACAGCGGGAAACGGGGTACAGTGGCACCAGGGATGGCAGCCCAGAGGGACACAGGGCACCGGGGATGGCAGCACACAGGGGACACGGGGCATCAGGAAGCAGCACAGAGAGGGCACAGTGGCACCAAGGATCGTGGGACACAGGACACCAGGGATGCCAGCACAGCGGGGACAAGGGATGCACAGAGATGGCACCACCAATGGGACACAGGGCACCAGGGATGGCAGCACACAGGGGACACAGGGACATACACTGGTACCAAGGATGACAGCACACGCAGGACAGAACATCAGGAATGGCAGCACAGAGAGGGGACGCAGGAAGGACACAGGACACCAAGGATGGCTGCACACAGGGGACACTGCACACAGGGATGGCAGCCACACAGGGACATGAGAGAAGGCACAGGGGACACTGCACACCCAGCACATGTGGCTGTGCCAGCACCCAGGACACCAGGGACTGGGGACAGCAGCACATGGGACACCAGACACCCCCAGCTCAAGGCACAGGGGACGCCAGGGATGGCCGGGGACACGGCAGGAAGGATGGCAGCATCCCCACAGCACAACCCTGCTCCTTAGCACTGGCACTGGTTGTCACTGGTGCCTGGACCTTGGACTCTGGCACCGCACCAGCTCAAAGTGCCACCTGCCTGCTCCACAGCTCACATCCCGCATGGCCCTGGCCTCCGATGACAAAGTGACCTGCACAGGGTATCACCAGCAGCAAGGGCTGCTGGGTTTTTAGATTTTCATTTGTTTTTAATAGAGCCTGACTGGGGCTTCTACCTTGGGAAAAGTGAGTGCAGACCCCCTCAGCACAGGCTGTTGAGACAGGGTCATCGAATCCCAACATGGTTTAGGTTGGAAGGGACCTTAAAGCCCCTCCAGTCCAACCCCTGCCATGGGCAGGGACACCTCCCCCAGCCCAGGCTGCTCCAAGCCCTGTCCAACCTGGCCTTGGGCACTGCCAGGGAGGGGGCACCCACAGCTTCCCTGGGCAACCTGGGCCAGGGCCTAACCACCTTACAGGGAGGAATTTCTGCCCAATATCCAGTCTAAATCTCCTCACTTCCAGTTTAAACCATTCCCCCTCATCCCATCACTCCATGGCCTTGTAAAAAGCCCTTCCCCAGCTTTCATGCAGCCCCCTCAGGTCCTGGCAGGTGCTCTAAGGTCTCCCCAGAGCCTTCTCTTCTCCAGGCTGAACAGCCCCAACTCTCTCAGCTGTCCCTGTAGCAGAGCTGCTCCAGCCCCTGAGCATCTCTGTGGCCACCTCTGGACCCACTCCACCAGGTCCATGTCTGTCCTGTGCTGGGGATCCCAGGGCTCGGGGGGGGGTCTCACCAGAGCAGAGCAGAGAGGCAGAATCCCCCCCCTCTCCCTGCTGGCCATGCTGTAGGGATGCAGCCCAGGACATGGTCACTTTCTGGGCTGCAAGCACCCATTGCTGGCTCATGTTGAGCTTCTCATCACCCACACCCCCACGTCCTTCTCCTCATCCCATCCATTCTCCACTCAAACTGTATTTGCGCTCAGGCCTTCAACCCAGAAACAGAGGTGACCCCTGTCTCAGTGCCTTTTATGAAGGGATCAAGGAAGGGAAATATCCCCAAAGCTCACAACAAATCACCCTGGAGAAGCTGCACTTGGCAGAGAAAAACCCCATCGCCCCCATCTGCACTCCCAATCTTGATCTTTATTAGTTACAGTTTCAGAGGGGGGATTACAGTTTTGCTTCTAGATCTTGTTGAAAGCAGCAATGTCAACGCTCTGCACCTGAAACGGAACAAAACAGCACATTTTGAGTTTCTAGCAACTTCAAGATCAAAGTTCCTGCTTAAATATAAGCAGAAATGTAGGCAAAGATTAATAAAAACAGGTATGGGGCACATCACTCTCCTAACAGCGAGATACAAATGGAAGTTGAGCCCAGAAAAGACCATAAATGGGAGAAAGACTCTGATTTCAGGGAAAGGATATTCAGAGGTGCCTCTTTAGGGTCATCAGAGACCCCCAAAAGACCCCTTGTACACACAAATGCAGTTTGATACGAGAATGATTCAGCAGATATTGAAACATATCATAATTATCTTTAAATTACTACCAATCATTGCAAATTAATTCTCCTTAATGCTGCAACTTCTGTGCACCAAGAAAAGTGGCACTGGTTGTGTGATGTTGGAAGGAATTTGAATTTCTCCCTTTGCAGCCAGCGCTGAATGAAGGACGCGAGGTTTTTCTTATTCCCAATTTTGGCAACAACCAAGGCCGAAAGACTTACGTAGTCTTCAAATTTGGTGATCTCCTCCTCCAGGATGTCTGTTCCGACCTTGTCATCCTCCACAACGCACTGGATTTGGAGCTTCTTGATGCCGTAACCTACTGGGACCAGTTTGGAGGCTCCCCACACCAACCCATCCATGTGGATGGACCGGACGCACTCCTCCATCTTTGCCATGTCGGTCTCATCATCCCACTGTAAAAACCATAGAGAATTAATAATTTAGCATTTTTCTAGAGATCAAGATGTTTCCACTGACCCAAAATTCAGATTTCAGCTGGTCCAAGCTTGCCTTTCCTTGGCTACTGCTGCAGAGCGCTCACGTTGAAGGGATTTTTACCTAGAGGACATGGCCAGCCCTGGGTTTTTGTTCCACCATGACCAAAGTCTTTCGTGGTCTTGAGTTAAAACAGATGCAAAGCTTGGGGGACACGAAAACCCAGGGTGGCTGATCCCAAACTGACCCATGAAAGTTGTTCTGTACCATAAATGTTGTACTCGCTATAAATTGGGGAGTTTGCTGGGGATGGCCCTGTTTCTTTGCTGGGAAACATCTCAAGAGGGTCCAGTCTGATGTCCTACCCAGAGGCCTCTTCTCCCACTATAATGTTATTAATATAATGTATTATCATCATTATTGTTTTATCTGTTTTTATTTCAACCCACAGGTCTCCTTTCCTTTTCCCAACTGCCCTCCCCACGCAGGGAAGACTCATCGGGTGACTGATCAACTGCCTAAACCACAACAAGTTTATTCCCAATTTTAGGGCATTCCTCATCTGTTTTTCCATCAAAGAAATGGGCAAGCCCTCATCAGGGGAAGCTCAGATGTCCCCTTGTCCAGTCCACTCCCACCAGTCCCCTTAGATGTGGATGCGAGATGATTTACAGGACAGACATCCACGCTCCCCTACTCCAGTTACTCACTGGTTTCACATCCAGGAGGATGGAAGACTTGGCAATAAGTCCCGGTTTCTTGGCCTTCTTCTCCGCGTACTGACGCAGCCTCTCCTCCCGCACTTTGGCGGCCTCTTGGTCTTCCTCTTCGTCGTCACTGCCAAAGAGGTCAATGTCATCGTCATCGTCTTCCTCAGCAGCAGCTGGCTCAGCTTTCTTTGCTGGTGAAGCTGAAGGGAGCTCCACTTTTTTGGAGGGGATGCTGAACGGTTCCACTTTCTTCATTGGGGGGACGTGCGTTCACGTTTGCGTTAAGGATAAAAAAGGGGAGAAGATTAACCTGAAGTTGAATCACAGCAGCACTCGGGAGAAGCTCAGGAACAGGAGTTTACATTGCTCAAAACAGCCAACACAGCCCAAACCACTTCATGGTTGGACTTGATGATCTTAAAGGAGTTTCCCCAACCAAAACCATTCTGATTTGTGTGAAGAATCAGCTGTTGGCCAACAAGATACAGGCTTGGGGACGAGCAGCTGGAGCTGCCAGGCAGAAAAGGCCCTGGGGGTGTTGGTGGACAGCAGGATGACCATGAGCCAGCAATGTGCCCTTGAGCCAAGAAGGCCAATGCCATCCTGGGGTGGATGAGAAGGGGTGGTTGTAGGGCAGAGAGGTTCTCCTGTCCCTCTGCTCTGCCCTGCTCACACCACATCTGCAATATTGTGTCCAGTTCTGGGCCCTCAGTTCAAGAAGGACAGAAACTGCTTGAAAGAGTCCAGCAGGGCCACAAAGATGATGGAGGGAGCGGAGCATCTCCCTTATGAGGAGCGGCTGAGGGAGCTGGGGCTCTTGAGCTTGGAGCAGAGGAGACTGAGGGGTGCCCTCATTCCTGGGGATCAATTTGGAAAGGGCGAGTGTCAGGAGGAAGGAGCCAGGCTCTGCTCTCTGATGTCCAATGCCAGGACAAGGGGCAATGGGAGCAAGCTGGAGGACAGGAGGTTCAACTTGAACGTGAGGACAAACTTCTTTAGTGTGAGGGTGCCAGAGCATGGCCCAGGCTGCCCAGAGAGGTTGTGGAGTCTCCTTCTCTGGAGACATTCAAACCCCTGGCCATATTCCTGTGTGGCTGCTCTGGTGACCCTGCTCTGGCAGGGGTTGGACTGGATGAGCTTTCCAGGTCCCATCCAGTTCCTGATATTCTGTGTGATTCTGTGTGAAAATAGGACATCTGACCACATGGACCTTTGAAAAGCCCAGCATGGCCATATTTATAGAGCAAAAACCACCACATAGCCAAGAGCTGATCCTTCTGGCCAGCAGAATTATCCCATACCATAAACATCCTGCTCGCTAAAAACTGAGGGGTTTACTGGGGACACTCCCTCTTTCCTCAGTGGTTGTCATTCCCAGAGTGTTTCACTCATCATTCTGCTCCCAGGGCCTACTATTATTATTATTCTGACCTTTCTTCCCCAGTTTTCTCCCCTACCCAAGGTGGGCTGTGTGGTGTTCAAGCTGCCTGCCGGGTTAAACCACAACAAACCTATAAGAATTGATCAAATCGCTGCTATGCTTTCTCTTAAACTAAATTGTTAGTCTTAGGGCAGAACATCCCTCTCCACTTGTGATTTTTGGGAAAAATGATGAGGCAGCTGCCAAAATTCCTGGTAAAGTCACAACAAACTCATCCTATGAGCATCTCTCCATCTTCAGCCACCCAGGAGACCAAAGCTCACCTGGGTTGGAGGAACCGGTAAGGGCTGGTGGGAGGTAGATGATTTTTCCAGAGCATTCAGGCGGCTTTCCAACTTGAAGATGGCCATCTGAAGGTCTGCAACGACTGTAAGAGGCAAAAAAAACCCCAAACAAGCTTATTTTGTAGGCTCTGCATCAGGATAAATTTCCTTTTGCTCAAAATTCTGCAAGATCTGCAAGGCCTTAGACACGGTCCCTCACAACATCCTTCTCTCTAAGTTAGAGAGATATGGATTTGATGGGTGGACTATTCAGTGGGTAAGGAATTGGCTGGATGGTCCCATCCAGAGAGCAGTGGTGATGAGCTTCAACGAGGCCAAGTGCAGGGTCCTGCACGTGGGTGGGGACAATCCTCGTTACCGATCCAGGCTGAGAGATGATGTGCTGGAAAACAGCCCTGAGGAAAAGGACTTGGGGGCACTGGTGGATGAGAAGCCTGACATGAGCCACCAATGTGCATCTGCAGCCCAGAAGGCCAACGGCATCCTGGGCTGCATCAAAAGATGTGGTGAAGTGATTCTGCCCCTCTGCTGTGCTCTGGTGAGACCTCACCTGGAGTACTGTGTCCAGCTTTGGAGTCCCCAACAGTAAAAGGACATTAAAGTGCTGGAGTGGGTCAAGAGGAGGCCACAAAGATGATGAAAGGACTGGAGCAGCTCTCCTATGAACAAAGGCTGAGGGAGTTGGGGTTGATCAGCCTGGAGAAGGCAAGGCTGTGGGGGGATCTTATAGCGACCTTCCAGGACCTGAAAGGTGCCTGTAAGAAAGCTGGGGAAGAGCTGTTCACTAAGGCATATAGTGATAGGATGAGGGGTAATGGTTTTAAACTAGAAAAGTGCAGATTTAGGTTGGATATGAGGAAAAAGCTCTTCACCATGATGTGGTAGATCAGTGGCACAGGTTGCCCAGAGAGGTGGTGGAGGCCCCATCCCTGGAGATATTCAAGGTCAGGCTTGATGGGGCTGTGAGCAACCTGATCTGGTACCAATGTCCCTGCTCACTGCAGTGGTTGGACTGGGTGAGCTTTAAAATTCCCTTCCACCCCAATACATTCTACGAGTCTATGAAAAACACAAATTGCCCCAGAGAGAAGCCCACAATTCCCTGATCAAGACACTGGAGCCCATCCAGTTTTGCTGTCATGGCAGAAGATCCTCCCACTTACCACTGTGAAGGTTT